AGCAGGAGAAAAGCAAACCATAGGCTCAGATAAATTAGCTGTGGTTTTCTTCAATGGACATTCATTGCCAAGGAGACAACCCAGGGCCTTTATTCATGAGAATTAAAGGTGCAAATGTAGGGACTGATTCCACGGTCCAAAGAAGCACTCTGCAGCTACCGAGATGAAGAAAGCCATGTGTCCTGGATCATTTCTGATGAATGATCTGAGCTGCCATTTCTTGGTGTTTTAGCTAAACCAGAATGCAATCTATCAGTTTAATAACATATATTTTCTACCAGGAACCAGAGTTAAATTCACGACGGGGAGAAATTCCAGACTGACTTAGTTCTTTCTACCTCTTTTTAGCTGAGAATGTATGTAGTTAAAGAGTGATCATTCTGTTTCTCTTGTCTGTATTTTACTGTGTTGGCAGAGGTGTCAGAGTCCAATATATTAGGATATTTTTTTCAAGTAGCCAAATCACTATAAGGGGCTTTCAAGTCTGAAACTTCCCGATGACCTTAATTTACTTGTCAGATAAAAATGTCAAATGACAGATAAGAATAATTGGAAAATTGGATTTGTTAAAAACTGACAGAAAGGTAGGTAAGGCAAAATGATGGAAATACTTATTTTTGCTTGAAGTGATCCTTTTAGAAATCAATAAAGGCACAGTGCAGTGAACAACACATATATAAGCACATGTGTATGCACGTACACAGACTCCTCACCTGCAGGTAAAAGGTTCCATAAAACACAATCTAGGCAGTGAGAAGACAGTGATCAGGGACACTCAAAAATTAAAATTTTTACAGCATTTTGCCATTCTAAATTAAATTCGGCATGTCCCTCACTCCCTCTGTTCTTTTCTCATTTCTCCAGCTTTCTCTGAAGGTAAAGTTCAAGTTGTAAATAATAAGAGCTTTAACATATATTGTTTCTGTTGTGTATGTTCTTGAATCTTTTTTGTCATTTCCTGCTTCTTCTTCCTTCGTTGTTCCTCTCCAGCTGTGCATATTGGTATATGACCCTGTGTTCCTCCTCAGGACTATTCTTGATTATGCAAGACAGAAAAACTCCGTTTAAAAACCAATTATGATAGGTTGCAAACCCAAGCAAGTTCATGCAACTGTATTTCATCTCTTTGTGTGTACGTATTAGAGTGCTGCATTTAATCACAGAAGTACATAGCATTTTTTCCAGAATCTCATTCGTTAGACAACATGGTCAGCATTCATAGAGCTAAAATTAGTGTTTTGTTGTCTCTGCGCTGTCCGGTGCACGGTCTCGTATCTGCCAACTACATGCCACCCAAATCCGCCCAGTGCAGGGATGATTAGTAGCACTGTGATCACAGGGATGAATGTGGCTGTATCATGGATGGGGCCATACTCCATTTGATAGTTAGAGTTGATAGGCAAGGGGGTGAGGAAGTGCCGGTGCAACAGGAATATGTAAACCACTAGCAGTGCTAAGACTGAAAAGGGAGCTTAGTACCTATCTAACTGGGCTGGCTGTTTTGTCTGGTAGTATGTTTCATTCTCTCTGTCTGTCTGCTCACTAAGTTTGTCGTGACAAAAAAATAGTTTAAAAAACGAGTAGCATAAGACAAGAAAAAGGGAGGATTTATTATTTATCCCAGCAGATGATTAGATAGTATATGGTAACGTTTGGGTGTCAAAACTCTTCAAACACACTGTAGCTGCAATTAGTCAAAGTGGTGATTTGATTTTAAAACTGCAGCATGTATCATACATGTACTCAGAAGCATATTATCCAGATAAACTCTTCACTCCCACTACTCTTCATGCTTAACTCAGATTATATGCACGAAATGACATTTAACGTGTCTAATTGCATCATTCCAGCTTCCTTCCTTAACACCCTGCCCCGAAATCCCTTCTGCATCCAGCCTGGTGTCAGTTCCGTCCCCACCATCTACTCTTTACACCCATGCCCTGTCTCAGCTCCTCTCTGGGTTCTTCACCCAAATGTGTGGCGGAGGAGCTGCACTTTCCCTCCTCTTTTGGCTGAAGGGAAATATTCCGAAGCTTCTTCACTTCCTCACTGGGCAGACTGGCAGAAATGATGCAGATGTTTTATTCATGGTGCAAGAAGATGAAAGACAGAGAGAATCTTCCGGCTCTGTTCTACTTTCTTTTCTTTGAACAAATTTCTCCAAAATCTTTTAAAAGGTTGTGTATTTGGTATAAAAGGGATGGAAGCCCTAATGACAGCTCACTTCTGTCTCTTAGCTACATCCTTTAGGTATTTCAATTTGACACCTATCAGGCAGCAGACCTTCCAGCAGACTGAAAGATAAAAATGTGACAGAAAGACAGCTAGACAGATAATACTGAGCAGCTGTAAGATAAGTGTGGATGGTGAGAACTGGAGCTCTAACAGACAGCAACTGGCTGTCAGGTGGATTTACAAAACATTGTAAACAACAGTGCTTAAGAACAATAGGAAGGAAAAATATAAAATCTAATTAGGGTAACCTTTACATTTTCAGAAGTGCTGCAGTTCCTTTGCTTGGGTGAGCTGATGGGCTCCACTCTAAAGGGGAATGTGGGAAAGGGAGGAGGCAATGGAAAAGCAATCTTATGAAGGACTTTTAAAAAAGGGAAAAATAATGCCATCACTAGCATAAGAATGTAAAACCTTTTGGTATATATTCGCTTCAAAAGCCTTCTTCCAAGTGTTGCCCCTAACATTAGCTTCCTGGTCTGTGGATGACTGGAAAGCCTGTGCAAGCAGTTTGAGATCTGAGCAAGGATGTTGCTCTTGTTTAGGAGGAAGAATGTGAGAATTCAGCAGATCTGTCAATACAAGAAAGTCACCACCTGTGCCTATGGTAGAGAAATTAAAGTTATTGTTTCATCAAGATCAGGGTTTCAGGTCAATTCATATTTCACAGTCCTCAAATTTATAGACTACCTAGTCAGGTATTCTATTAGCATTTCTGAAATGTTTATTTTTTTATTGTTAATATTATTTATTTGAAACATATAAAAGTATATATTGCTTTTGGATTAAAATTCATCATGTACTTACGTGTATCATTCTGTTCAGCCCAAGCACTAGTTCACACTGCACATATGCTAGTTTGCCACTTAGGTTCCTTCTGGAATAAGCCAACTAGCTCCCTTTCAGATTTTTTTTTTTTATTTTGCTAATGATGGGAAGACTGACATGGAAAATACCCTTGGTTTTAGAACAAGCCCTCCACAAGAGTACTACAGCAGGAAAACACTGCACTGCCTAACAGCTGTAAATTGTTCAATGTTTTACAAATTCCTCTAGGCCAAGGGCCTCTGAGGTGATATAGAAGAAAACATACCTTCAAGAAAAAAGAATGCTTTGAATTTTTTTTTTAAAAAAACAATAAACCCAAACAAAAAAAAAAGTCTTCCGTAAATAGCTAGTTAGGAGAGAGATATAGAGAGAAAAATAGGGAGAGAGAAAACAGTTGGAGATTAAAGCATGTTTGCCCTGGGACAAATGATTTTTTTTCTCAGAATACGTTTTATTCCATCCTAGGAAGGACTAGAGTTTACTGTGGTGACTCAGATAGTTGGTACTCCTCATACATAGAAGCAGGAACTACAAGTGAGGTTATACTTCAGTTTATAGCCACAGCAGTGGTACACGTGTGTGCGCTGGAGCACATTAAACCTTGTCAGCTTTGCTAGAAGGGTTTTTCCTGTGAGGTGCTGAAACAGGGAGACTGAATAAAATGGCAATAAGGAACATGGTCAAAAGCAGCTATTACTATGCTTTGCAAAGGTATTACATTTCCCAGCAGCAGCCTCTTAGCTTTAACAGTGGAAGAAATGCCTGACAACACCCATTCATCCATCCCCGCTTCCTTGAAGAGAATTTTTCTGACTTTCCTGCATAACTCCATTTCCTTTCACAAGGAAAGTACAAATTTTACTCTTTTAGATGCTCCATTTATTGGTCTCTGAAGCAGGGAGAAGTGTTCAACAACAACAAGAACGTGGTCTCCAAGAAATGGCTGCCTCAGTCTGCTGGTCAGTAAATGGGGGTCCTTCCCAAAACCCAGATCAGCACTGTGTGATTAACTAACTTTTTCCATTACTGCTACAGAGTTGGTCTTCTTTCTGCCTTATGCACCACCACTAATAATTATATCAAAATGTCTTAGTGTTCCTAGCAATGATGTATCTAATTTTATCCTAAATGACTGCAGTGTCACAGATAGTGTTTCAAACAGTAAACTGGAGAAGGCATGACAGTACTGTCCTGCCAAGGACAGTATGTTTTTGGACATTGATGTACACGTTTCACAACTGATGAATCATTACTTTTTTATAAGTTGTCTGTAACTTTAAAGAAAAATCCTAATTTTGGATTGCTCACTTTACTGCTATTTATTAACAAATTATGTCAATATTCAGAAAAGGATCACATGGTACAAGCTAAATAAAAAAATGCAGGCTAGAAATAAGGTGCAAATTTTTAATTACGAAGCTTAAGCACTGGCACTGCCTACCTATAAATATGGTGAGCTCCCCATTACTGGAAGACTTCAAATTAAGACTGTTTGTATATAGTAGATGTTAATTTCAATCTATTGCCATTAGCTGACTGGAAAAGTTTCAGATATTTGGTCTGTGTTATGAAAGGGGTACAAATGAATGATCACAATCATCTGATGTTGCCTTAAAGTTTAGAATACACCAGTTTTCAAAATTCTGCTGTGAGGAAGTAAGATATTTGGAGAGTAACAAGGCATCATTTGACTGGTCACTGAGTACTGCTTCAATTTGAAGGAAGTAATATTTACCAGCAGGCACTTTGCTTTTTTTCCCCCTTTGAAATCTAAAGCAGTACTGTATAAATATTTGAATAAGACCAGAGTCCTTTGAACTACCCTTTTAATTAAACTGAAGTCTTGATCTAGCTCCAGGTACCATTTCAAACAGCAGCAGAATTTCTCTCAACTTCCATCTCAATTGATCATAAACAAACCCCCTTCTGTCTATATTTCCTTTCAGTCACACAATTTATATTTATAACAAATCAAATACTTTTAGTCACGCAGAAGCTCAAGCAATAGATGTTGGTAAACAGCAAATATATAATGAGTATTTATGTTTCACTATCAAGATTCACAGTGAGTGCTTAGAAGTAATAGAGGTAATAAATGTTTAAGAGTGTTGTGAGCTCTATCTCACCATGCAGCCCAAGAGCCAGGTGCATTAGTGCAACTGAGAAAGAGACGTGGGGCTGGGAAGCAGTGGGTGGAATCTCACTGCCTGGAGATGTTCCTATCAGCAGTGGCAATGAGAGAAATGTCACTGGAACCACAGTCTTCCTGATTCAGATGTGTAAGTCACATTTTCACAAACGTGACATAGGCTTATAGAGGTTTAAATACCATTTATTTTTGATACGAGTTATGTCCCTGGGTGCCTAAAGCCTAGTATTTATTGCATCAGAAGACGTAGATAGGATCTACTGGAATTCTTGAAAGCACCCAAGTGCTGAACTCCTATTCGGACCAATTGTCTTAAGTACTAGAAAACTTTAAAAAGTCCAGTTAGGCATTAAGCACTTGGAAATCTATCCCTAAAACATTTTTTTAAATAGAATTTAAGAAGCAATGGAAATGGAACAGAAGCCTATGGGGGGCTCTTGAAAACGTTTATATAGTTTTGAGTCTGTACTTTAGCTTAAGCAACTTGAATTCTAAAATACTAATGAAAAACATGGTATACATAATTGGTTAATTAAAGTAATTTCATTAATGAGTGTTTTAGTGTTGTATCTACTATGCTAATTTTTTCTCAAATGCTTGTAAATACCTCGTTTGCAGTTTCTTTGAACATGGATGGCAATACATGCCTTAAATATAAAATTGTTCAGAGCATGAACATCATACATAGCATCAAGCCTTTTTGCATATTCTGTAGGAATATGTAGGCTTTTTCCTTCTCAATGGTAAATGTAGCAGGCTTATTGACTGATGGAAATGCATGTAAAAGTTTTCATTTTTTTTATTTGTAGAGTCTGGGAGCACTTATAACTACAGAGAAAAGACTCCATTACTGTGTTCTGGGAGCTTGCATGAAGCTGCTGGATTTACATGAAGCCTGACTAAGGGTATTTCTAGATATCAAAAGGAAGGCCTTCTTTAAGCAAAGAAAGGATCATAGAATCATAGTATACCGCAAGCTGGAAGGGACTCATAAGGAAATTTTGCAGAAGAAAACATTTCTTCAGCTGCAGCGTTGGGCTAAAATTTCTATTTGTTGTCATAAATCCAGAAGTGTGAGGCAGAGGCTTACTTGTTTTTTATCATATAGCAGTGGTCGTTTTGTGATAAGCGGATGGTATGGATGCAGCCATTCAAACTCCCAATTTCTCACTGTTTTAGAATTAGATGCTACTTCTATTGTATTTGATTTTTTTTTTCCTTCAGTGAAACTTACTTTCATCTCCAGTTTCAAATTCAAACTTCTGGCTATAGCCGCTGTATCCTGCTGCCGTCCTGACTCTGATATGAAATATATACTTGGTGGCTGGCTTGAGACCTGTGATGATAACACTTGGAGCCTTGGACCTTGTGGAGGAATAGCTGAGCTGCTCATGCTCCTGAGGGACAAAAGAGGGGAGAAATGATATCAAGTTGAGTTGTACAAACTTTGCAAAAATGATATAGCAGAACTGAAGCTCCATATTCTTCTCATGAATGTAAAATGTGTTTATAAAAGGAGGTGCAGGTATGGATTTCTATACTTTGATTTTGTGCTATAGTCATAATGTATGATATGACCTTGACTTAGATTTCAATTTTTTGTCTTTAATCTTGCATATAAACACATCACATCTGTGTGACTTGGGTTAGTAACTACACTGTAGTCAAAACAATATGGAATTAGTAGAAGACTACATTCACAGAAATGGCAGCCAGAATGGTAGCTAATTATCTTTGCACAATGGACAAACTAGGAGGTCAGTAAATACTAGTAAGCTGTAAAGTAAAGATGTGGGAGTATTCAAATACTCGCTACTCACTTCTACCCGCAGGTAGTGCCAAAATGCCGGCGCTATCCGTGGGTAGACCTGTGGGTAAAAGAAAATAAAAATTAACTTTTTCTTTAAAGTCTGTAACCTTCTAGCATGGTTGAACTGCTTCACTGCTGTTGAACCTAACTTCTCTTTCCAGGTAGCTGTAAGGTAGTCATATATGAAATTCCCTTGCACGCTGTATAAGGAGAAACACTGTCTGCAAAAGTCCGCTGTTAATCTCCTAGCAGTTGATCCTGGGCGTCTGCTGAGAATTCCTGACTCTCACAAAGATCACTGAGAATTACGGTGTGCAGAGAGCACTGGGAATTACCACTGCAGACCAACTGCTGTAGTATGGAGACCAGCCACATCGACTGCTGTGCAAAAACTAAAAGTGCTGCTTTGCTAGACAGGTTGTTGATGATACTTTTACATGAGGGGATGACTTAGAAGAAGAGAGTTTATTCCCTGTCATTAGTTACTGTCACTTGATAAATCAGTAATCTGTAATACTTTACACGGTGCCTTAAGGCTAGCTTTACTTCGGTGCAGCAGGATTTGTCTCAAAACTGACATGTGAACAGAAATGTCCTTGGCATATGCTTAACAATCCAACTGTGATACCCATAGGGCACCATATACATTTATTATACCATGCAGTAATATTAGAGTATGTACAAGTTATTCAAAGGGTGCTTCCAGCCTGTTAAGAAGGAAACTGGTTCACAGAAGAGGAATAACCAGGAGAAGAATAGGTTTCAGTTAGATTCTGTTGGACTCTCAACCTTTTCTGAGCAACATAAGTATAATTTTTATATAAAACAAACAGTTTTATATAAAACATGCTGAGTCAACTTCAGTCATGGTGTTAACAAAGTCACATTAGCATAGGGCAGCTGTATATCAGCATTCCCCCAGTAAGCACACAAGGAGGTGGCTAAGAAAACCAAATTAAAAAACAAACACACAAAAATAATCTGATGATTCTGTTAAATGAACGAGGAGAAAGAAGGCAACAATGAACCAATATCTAAAATAATTGCATTTAATGCTCACTTCAAATAGTGGAAATAATTTAAGAAACTATAGTAAGAAGAAGTGTTGATTTGTTCTACAGTCTATTACCAAATTCTGAAACAGCAAGAAGTGTGTATTTAAATTGACACAGTGTACATGTAATCTTATGGATGGAGACTACAATTAATATACCGTTTAACAACTTCTGTAACTATTAGAAGATTTCTCCCAATTACTTTGAACAGGTTCGTGGATTTTAAATTTCAGAAACTATCTATTTTCTTCTGACAGAAGGCCAACCTGTTGAAGTGATGGATTTTTTTTTTTTGTGATTAAGCTTCCTTCAACTTGAAAAATAGCATGTATGTGAGCAAAAAAGGTGTAATAGGGTAATACTTGGATTTGTAAGGAAATAGAGAACTCCTACATATACAGAGGAGTTTTCATACTACTTTATGGACACTTCACATTTCAGTGTGTCATGAATAGCTAATTTCTACTCTATAGCCTTGTTATGTGCAACTTCCAGGGACTTCCATGTGTAGAGGGGTCACATAATTTAACATGTAACTTGGCCAGGATATACAAACTTGGAGAGCGCAAGACTTGAATTTATTTAGTAACGAAGCTGCTGACTAAAGTGTGTATGGTTCTGCCCAAAGGGACTAACTCTTTCAACACAAGCTAGCAACCACCTCAAAATCAGTCTAAGAAATAGGAGGAAAAAAAAAAGACACCACTTGATTTTGCACTATCCTAAGACCACACTGAATCATAGGTATGGCCCAATGTTTGTGATCTTGCCTGTTAAATACAATGTCAATAAAAGACTGTTTCTGCACTTCAGTCGAGGTGAAAATATGACATCCAGCGAAGGAAAGATTCTGGATATGTTCATTAAAGTTTATGTAAACAGCAAATGCTTATTTTATACAGGTATTAGTATGCTTCAGTTCAATGTTTTAGCAAGTACTATGTGTTCCATCTGTCATGGGCAGAGACTTTACACTCTGGAATGCTCTGGAATTTTTTATTTAGGCTCTTCAACTTGTAAGATAAGGAGGAGACCAGCACCTAAAGAATTTCACTGTACAATGTAATAGTTACAAGCCATTTCCTTTTCCCAGACTACCTTGCTGCTTGAAATCAAGTTCTAAGCATTTAACAATTTACTGACCTGCTGGAGACATTGCAGAAATAAAGTTTCAGAATAATTTGATGGAATTGTAAAAAGAAATAGGTTCTTTCAGAGGAGGACAGAAATGGAAATTTTGTCAAAAATTGGTGGAGACTCCCCAAGATCCAATGATAAGATTTAGTCCCTGAAGCCTGCAGAACAAGGCCAGTGGCAGTAAAGAACTGGGAATAACTTCTAAAAAAAGCAATCTATCTGAGCTATAGCTGTTATGTTATATCTGTTATTACAGCCTAACTACTGCTTGTGTAAAACATAGCATTTGGGGTATAGCAGCTCTCTAGCCAGGGATGTGGACAGACAGTTATCAAGTATAATTGATTATTTTTAATTGGTCAAAGATAACGAGTGTGACAAGGACTGTGATGGTAACATTTAGCCAACAAAATGAGTCCCTCGGTCCACGTGGGCAGACTGTGGCTAACAGCAACTTCCTGACGGGCAGCCATCCTGCCTGTCCCTTCTGGGCAGCGGAAGGAATTTGGGTCACCTCCGAGGGTTGGCTGGCTTCCTCCCCCCTCACCACTCACCCTGCAGGAGGCCCTGACGGGTCCCATCTCTGTGCCCTCCCATATCCTTTCTCCTTTCCTTTCTGCAACCTTTTACACCATCCATCATACCGTCCGAAAAATGATGTCTAGGAGTACACGATCATAAAAGTAATACTGCTGTCATATGGGAAACAGGGTTGGATTTGTTATTACAAGTGAAATAGGGGAAAGGGAACCTGTCATCTTGGTGTGTTTGGGAAGAAAAAGCTTCAGAAACCTGTACCTGAGGAGACAGTTGCTCAAACTTGAGACAAAATGATTAATAGCTGGAAACTTCACATTGTTTTATGTGAATGTTTCACACAAAGAAATCAGCCTTTTTTGGACTGGATTCATACATAAGTTGATTCTCCAGAGACTGGAAGCTTTGCCATTACTCCCTTCTCATGACAATGACAAGATCTGCAGCCTACCAGGAAAGCTAGAGCTTTCCACAGAGAGACGCAATTTGAGGTTGATGGTGATGGCTCTCAAGATTGGCCACTCCTTCTGCCATGATCTTTCCCAGGGAGGCTAAAGATGGTCTCAGAATAAAACAATACAATTTCAGTCTGCAGGGAAGTATGGGATGCTTTGTCTTATTCTTGCCACAGACAATATGCACTTACATTAGCATGGATTCTGAGTTCAAAAAGTGAATTTTTAACATGCAGGACCTGGATGTACTTCCCGGATGTTAGTGCATGCTTTTACCAAACCATGATTTTATGCTGTGGAAAAATTTAGACATATACCAGCCCTCCTGCCATGCACCCTATTTTCCATTGAATGGAAGCACGGTTTTGTGGGCTAGAAGGAGCCACAGTATACTCTGTGATAGATCTCTGACCTGGACAGTGATGGCACCAGGATCAATGGGAAATGTCAAGGACTACATTTGTTTCGTATTTCTTGATAACTACAGAGGACTCCTACAAAATCTGCAAAACAAAAGTTTCACTGATATGGCTGTATTTCCCATTGCATGTAAGCAGTAAGTGAACTGTTGCCCATTATATACAGCTCAGAGTTCATATAAAAGGAGAAGTACAAGAAATGCTCCGATCCTTCACATTAGTATCAGAGCAGGATTTGTGATCTTAAGATGGCATAGGCTTCACAAGAAGCAGTTGTGAGAACACAGGGACTGAGAGTTTAAACATTAGTTAAAGGTGTCTATCTAATACAATGTACTAATATAACTACTAATCAGAATTTGATATGAGGACATTCATAAGACCTTTTCCATAGCCCACTGCAAATTTATCTTGGTGAAAATCTGTAATTAAAACATAAATATAATCCAAATGACAAGTGATGTCAATGTTGTTACACAATGTAATACAGAGCCTATGACTAGCTTATCCAAGTTATACAGAATTGTATCATGAACTTTGAAAATGCTATCTCTAGGAAATTGTATTTTTCTTACTGTGTGATCTTGTCAGTGGATTCAGTTCTGATTATGACAGTGTTCATAAATCTGTGACAGTTTGGTCTGTGCATGAACATGAGCACCTTTCAGAATCAAACTCTTTACTGAGCAACCTCTGCATGAGTATGTGAATCTGTATCTATCCTAATTTTATACTTGCCTTTATACTTAAGACATTTTTTCATATCTACAAGAAATAGGCTGACTGAATGCAAGTTACAATGGTGCTAACGGTCTAAGACTAGACAAATTGATTTAATGGAGTAGCAGAATCAGAGTATAAAAAATAATGAAAAGTTTCCTGCTTTTGCAGTGCACCAGAATAGTTGGATCTGTCCCATCAACATATGCTGTAATGAAACATTTCCACTGTATGACATCATCAGATTAAATGATAGTTCTTCATTATGCCTCACTGAAAGTAGCAGCTTTATTAACGAATGTCATATTCATTTAATATCCAGATGTTATACTATTGTGATTAGTATTACCATTTTTCTTGTATGCTCAAAAGAAAGGGGATTCCCTCTGATGACATTAACATTTGCAAACAATAGATAAACTGTCATGTGCCACACCTATGTGAACATGCTGCTCTCTAATTTGATCCCCACCTTACTTCAGAGGGAAACAGCACAGAAATGAAGACTTTGTGAACATATATGAAATAAAACATTGATAAAGACTAAGCAAAATGTGATGACATTTTATCAGTTTAGACTCATATTGCAATCAAAGAGTTTACATTCTGATGCTATGAGTGAGAAAAAGTATTGTGTTGGTTTTGCGTGGCAAGGTT